GAGAGAGATAGATATTATCTTCATTTCTAAATCATAAAGTACCAGACTGAATCATTAATAAAAACAATGAGGACTTTCCTATCCAACACTGATAAAATAGGGAAATGAAAGAGGGACAGGCATATAATACTAGTAATAAAATAACTGTAGGGCATAATCCTTCATTGAGTACAATAAAACTGGTTGGTGTAAATATTAAGTATTAACTGGGTCTTCCATATCATACACCTATTAATAATTAGAAATTATAAACATTTTACAATTGTTAATACCAAATACAATACAATCCATTCCTTTTTTATTCGTACTTATATATTCTTGTTTGTAGGAAATATTTTTTTATGGTGGGAGCTTCCTCACCTATAAAATTAGTATTAATTATATTTCACTTTGAATATACTTTTTGAAGAATTGAGAAAATGCTACAAGAACATACTACTTAGTAAGGCTACAATTTTATGTTGTTGATATTTGATAATACATTCTATTAAAATATGATAATTTCCAAGTCTACATATGTGGCTGGGTGCGAGCATGAATTAAACATATAACATATTTGCCTTTACTTGTAAACATATCTAAAAGATTTAAACTATTAGAAGTTGTTTTTAATTTCAGGTAAAAGTGAAAATATTATTTTACATGATTTAAAAAACAAGCTGAAGTTAAATTTCAAGAGCTAGTTTTGGAATATGTTCATTTAGTCCTGGATCAAAAATAATTTGAATATGAATATTCTCTGTTTAGTGTTGTAAATTTAAATGTTTATTTCACTCATTAGCCAGTAATTGCTTGTGGACACATTTAACCAATCTTTTGCCAAGTACCAATGGCATAAAACAATAGTTTTCAACCTTTTCTTCACCACGGACCCCCTTTACCTTTTGTGGCCATGGATCCCCAAGATTTAACTCAACATTTAAATAATTCTTCAAGCCTTCGTGAACCCCCTGTGATGACATCATGTCCCCCCAGCAGTCCATGGATCACAGGTTGAGAAACACTGGCATAAAGTATTTGAGAAAGAAAGGGGATAGCATGAACATCTACTAAGTTTTGAATAAGCATCAGTGAATTACTTTTGACTATAAGGGAATATAATTAAAAATATGTTTTTTAATACTGTTAATATTTCAATTATATTCATTCCCCAAGTTCTTATAGAAGATAGGGAACAGTTATATTAAGACTTTGTTTAGTGTATTCTTTAAGAGACATATTAGTGTACACTGAAAAAACCACAACTGGAAAAATATAGGACATACATTTTATGAAATATTTCTTACTATTGTTTTTTATTTTACATAATATTTAAAATGAATAAGTAAAGCATTAATGTATATTAATAATATATATTAATATATATTAATTAATATATAGTTCCTGTACATGAAAGTTATACAGTATAACTTTTTTTCTCTATAGAGATTTTCCACTTCTAATTATGAGGTTCTCTAGGTCAGCAGAAAAAGTGGGATATTTACTTAAATGGATATATAAACTTAGGGAACAATTACTCCTCCCCCTCCCTAAAATGTAATGCTTTTTGATTTTTAAAAAAGAACAGCAAGGACCTTTGTTCTAATTTTGAAGATCTGTTTTTACTTTAAAACCAGTGAGTATGTTAGCAAAGATTATACAGGAATCAGAATTGTATATATAACCATTTAAGTAAGTATGACCTAAAAATATGAAGGCTATGAATTTGTTTCCTAATTTGTGAAAATGTATTTCAGTATGAAACCATAATATCTGGGAAATTTCTACAGCATTTAACTGGCCATCTTCCTTATAGAGCTATTACAAAAAATTTCTAATAAGTTAGAAAAATCAAATTGCCATAACACTTTTTAACATTTGTCATCTGTGTTTTAACAGTTGGAAATGGAAGATGAAGATACTATTGATGTGTTTCAACAGCAAACTGGTGGCATATGCTAAATGTCCTTTTCATTTCGAAAGAGGAATACAAAATGTCACCCACTTCATCATCTGTCCTTGGATTTGCTATTAAATAGTAAACAAATGAACATGCCAATCTTACAGGAGTCTTCTCATGTTCTGAGGACACTTATCCAAATCCTTTTCCTGTCCCTGATATTCTGCGTGTGCAAGTTGAAGCTGTATCCATGTAAAATAACTTCATAAAAATGGGCCCAGTAAAAAATTAAATTTTCAAATAAGTAATTACTGGCTGTTTACTGTCATCTTGTTTTTCTAAAATGGTGACCTAAGTACCAACCTACTGTACAATGAACATATTTAGTGTTACCTTTAGTTTTTGTTTTATTGCTTAATTATGACAATGTAAATATTGAAATACTTTTTCTTTGTGATAGGATTTTTTTCTCAAAAGATGTTTGGGACAGAAAAGAATTTTATCATAAACAATTATTACTCTAAAACTGTTAACGAGGATATATGAAAAGAGCAATACTTGCAGAATGCTGATTATAGTGGCAGTTAAAGGTAATGCAAATGTACATGTGCTTTTTCATAATAAAATAGTATAGAATCAATTTTTAAAGTAATGGGAAGTTATTGAGTTTGTCAGCAATTACACTATTTGCATACATAATATTCCACATTTACTATAAAGTTCACATATCCAGGGTGGAGTACCAGAGTATTTAATAAATTTTAAACTAATTGATCAGGATGTTTTAAGAAGCTCTCCTGTGCAATTCTTGTTAATTGTGGAACTCTTTGTGCAGCTTTCACACAAAGCATTATTTGGTCAATGATTTATTGGACAATAAATTCTACATTTTGTTAAAAGCTGACCTTAGAGGCTCATTGCTTTATAGCCTGGTCTGGGATTCAAACAGCTGTGTATTGTATTTTGCCTATGCATTAGGATCTTATGCTTCTTTTGTTGCAACCATTACCTGGGAAATCCAATGGAGCAGAATGCAATACAGGAATTGAATTTATCTTCTGATGAGTAAATTAAATCTTATTTTTAAAAACAAGGAATTCCAATATTAATGGCTATTAAATGTGCAAGTGTATCATTGGGAAAATATTGAATGCAAAGGATGTGTTTGCCAAATATTTCACATTTAAATGACTTGGTAATTACATGTGATTTGGATGCATCTAAATTAAATTAAAACTATTTTGTTTACTTTTTGTAAGCTTTTTCATTGCTGCTTGGGAAAGTACATTTCTGCATTTTATATATCTATATTTAACAGAGTACTGGTTTGCAAGAAACCCTTTTGAGAAGACTGCCTATCTTTTACTTATTCCCTATAATTGTAAATGGTCCAGGAAGGGATATTCATTTAAAATTGTTAATTGTTTATTAAATTGTACAATACTTGTCCTTTATTACTGTACACAAGTAAACCTAATTTGGTACTCTGTCTCTTGGCTTATATTTAATGCTGCTGAATTTCATATGACTATATTCAAAGCTGTATCACTGAAATGCTGACAATTTATTCATATGCACATCTTTATTAAAATTCTTTTATTGAGAGTGGATTTAATATTTAGGGTATTGATATATCTAGCAAAGAAACACAGTTTCAGTAACAGGTCCATCTTGAAGGTTCTATACTTGTTAACTTTGTAACATGCTGATGTGTTACTTCCTTGTTCTAAGCTTAGTCTAAATTTGTATTTAAAATGTTTGCTATAAAAGCAGAGAAAATCTTGATAGTGAATTAAAAGAGCAAGACCATGTTTTACATTCATTTTTCCAAAAATGGTTGCCCACTAAGTATACTTTCTTCCTTACATTCTTAAATTTTAAGTATCCAGGCCAGTCTTTACATATTTTCTGAATTTCATATTTGATGCCAATAATTTATGGTCTGTTCCAAAATTTGCATTTTGAAGTGTCCTTGGGTAACTAAATTACATATCTCAATTTTCTATTTTGTATTAGATAATTTATTTGATTCCATCTGGTGATGTCCAAATAGACTGATTTACTGTTCTCTAAAGTGCAGGTTGACTTCACTGAAGCCAATTCATTTAACCTAACAATAACCTGGTACTGTAGAGAACGTGACTAGATCAAAACATTTTTATGGTTAAGAGATTCAAATTTGGATTTCCTCATTAACCACTATTTAATAAAACTTAATTTATATTAGTTGAAGTAAATATTAGCAATAGCAATTTTGCAATTCTTTGCAAAAGAAACTGGAACCTATTTCATCTTGGTTCATGCTACTCATGAAAGCACTCTCTCAATCTAGTGACTCAAAAGAAAAATAACAGGTTAACCAGCTCTTTAAAGTAAATGTCTTCCCATGATGCTCAGTCATGAAACATAATAGCATTGAAATACTTGTTTCCACCTAAAATTAAAATCCTCAAAGCACTAGAAATATGCCATAGTTTGTGGTATTTTATTTTTTTATTTTTTGTATTTTGCATGCAAATTGAAGGTGTTTTCCCTGTAACTGACAAAATCTGAGTTAAGAAAATGTAATTGGCACTTATAAAACTTTGTAGCTCAGGGTTGAATTGGGCAGTCCTTTGTGTGTTCTCCGGTTCGCTTGTAGATCTTTCATTACCCAATTAGAGGGTACCCAACATATAGCGAATGAGCGGTCATTATTGTTGACAAATATTAAAGACGAGGGCAACAGGATTAATGAATACATGAAATGTTTGAACTAAATCTATCAGTAATTCCGGGGGCAGGACTAGACATTAGTTTCAGAGACGGGGTACGAGGTTCCTGTCCTGTCTAGACACGCCTATTAGAGAAACAAAAATATCTGTCATATGCTGCCTTATAGAGATAAATACATTGGGTATTTTCAGGATTCGCATTATATCAAATATCAAGACAGAAGGAAGGAGATACTTTCAACTCTGCAGTGAAACTTAAGAGCATTTATATTTCTTAGTTGGTCTCATTTCCGGCTTTTGCTCGTAGCAGCAAAGTATGTCAGCTGCTTTGGATCACTCTACACGTTTTGTAGCTCTACATGTTGATTGCGAAGGGAGGGCGAATAGATGTCGGTTGTGATTGGTCTCATTTTCTTTATGGTGAAAGCCGCCCGGAAGTAGCGCATCGGACAAGCTAGGGAGAAAACCAAAACGGCCAAGTTAGAAGGGCGACTGGGCTTTGTTGAGGCTACTTGAGCCATGGCGGGCACGGCGCTCAAGCGCTTAATGGCGGAATACAAGCGTGAGTAGTTAGGCTTTGTGTTGCCTGTGTGCGAAAACAGAGAGATCGGGATGGATTGACTGCCTTTCGGGTGACGCCGGCTGTTTTTCTAGCCCGGTCATGCGTTGATTATTTCTGGGCCTGTGGTAATGTCCTTACGACAATTTTGCCTGGCACGGCGGAGAAAGGGGATCGAGGGTTGCGCGTCTTACTGTCGACAAGGAGGCCGCTATGGGAGAGGAGAAGGCGGGCTTGACTGGCATGGGCTGTCGCTCCTCTTTCAGATACCCTACCCCCACCCCCTTGCTTTAAATTGCCAAGTCAAATTTTAAACTACAGTAATGTTTTTCAAACTTGACAATTTTAAGATGTGTAGACTTCAGCTCTCACAATTCCCAGCCCGCCTGTTGCCAAGTATGAAAAATATTGAACTGGAAACAAAATAAAAGGCAGATGGAGAATTCAGCCGGAAAAAGCCTGTGAGTCTGGTTCTCAGCCCAGAAATTCTATTTCATGATCTCATTTCTGGGGCTATTTAATACCAGAGGACAATATCCTTCTGCCACTCGTCTGAATGATGGAATAAATGTCATTAGGTCAGAGTCACTTGATGCTTTTGTGTGATGCTTTTAGATATCAGGAATGCCTACATGAGGGAAAGTAGCATGATAGAAGTTAAGTATGTTTACCTTCTTTAAAGGTAATTCTTTCTGCATTCAAACATTTGAAAACTAGACAACCTATGATTTATTAGATCGTCTGGAAATTTCAGCTTCACAGCAGTAATGAATCTTAGATTTTTTAAATACATTCTTTAAGTTAATGGATTTGAGGTACCTTGATTAAAAAATTTATTATGGCATAATGCACAGGAGCAGGAGCTACTTCCAACTACCTGTTAACTTTCCCAGTAACTTTGTTTGTGGGAAGCTGGCAGCTTGTTGGAAATTGTAATCATGTGAATGCAGATCATGGCAGTGCAGTGGTGCAGCAAGGGCCAAAACAAACTATCTGAAAATCTTTAAAATATCAGTTATGGGAATCATAGGTCCCTGATTTTGGATACCTTCCATAAGTTTACCCATTGGAGGTACATTGAATCAAAAAATTTTGTCCCATGACATACTGTTTCACCCAATTGAAGGTTACAAACAGAAATACAAGAGAGTTTCAGCAGTATATAGATGGCTGTTTTCTTTTTCATAAGGAAACAAATATGGAATTGTCTGGATTAATGCAGTTCTTGAACCACTTTGCAATGTTTTCTTATTGAGAGTGTAACCTGGTTGTGGCTATTGAATTGCCTCTGCATAGGACAGCTTGAAATAGTAAACCAGAAAATGTAAAAGAAAGTAGTATTTCATATAATTCAACAGAGTATTCCCATATTAACTAATCCTCAGAGTGTCAAGTATGGTGATTGAACCAGCAATGTTACCTGATTCTGATTTGAAGCAAAGTGGTGAAGCTTATGTTTTGATTAAAGAACAGACTGGCCTAAAGTCAGTCTTTTCTATCTTTTCACTAGTCTGATTCTGGAGAATTTGTGTCAGTCACCATGTGTTCTAACTGCATGACATATACACAACCTCTGTACTAAAACAATAACTGTAATAGGAAACATTGTTTTATTGTTTCAATCTCTTCTTAAATAAACTAGAGCTAGGTAAATAAACTAGAGATAACTTCCAGATGTTTAACTAACTTATGGCAGCATAAACACTTGTGAAGTATAATGGGAAGTTTAGTCCAAAAATAATATCTGGAGAACTCTGAGGTAAATGGTAGAATGAAAATGATGAATAAAATGAACTCTGTATATTGTAACCTAGTTCAGTCTTGCCTTAAAATGTGATTAAATATAAGGACTTCATGAATGACAGTCATGTATTCTATCAGTTAACTATTAGTCCATATATACAAAGGCCATGATTACTCAATATTTAAAAAAATCATAATTATATGGTCTTTTGATTTGATGTTGCATCTTTTCCACTAGGGAGAGCAATAGCTCCTCTTTTCACCATGGTTGGTGTCTCTCTCCTTTTCACCTACCTTTCTACTTTATTTTTTTTCCTAGAAAATTATTGAAGATCTAAAGTTTTGGATGAAGATGAGACCTTTGTTGTTAAAGATTTCACAGGAAATAACAAATCTAATAATTCTCAGCAATATGTATGATAGAACAAAATTAATAGAAAGGTGCTGTATACTAAAAAAAGTTGTTTTTTAACATAGATAACTTCAAAGAGAAAAAGCAAAAAGCTTTTTCAGAATTTTCCAAACTACACTGCCACTGTAACTGTGCAGTCACGTGCATAATGGAGATAGATTTAGTTTGTGCTCATTGCAGCCTCTCTTGCAAATGTATTTGGGAATATCCTCTTAAAATGTAGCCATTTATACTGTTCATTTTATTGTAAATTTTATTGATTTTCCTTTATTTGACCACTATTACTAGACAAAAATTATCAAGATAATATACATCTCTTGTTCTGAAAAGTAAGAAGTACAAATAAATACTTAAAATGTTTATTCTTAATTATAGAGTTGACTTTGAATCCTCCTGAAGGCATTGTAGCAGGTATGACATTCTATTTAAAGTATATCTGAATCTTGAAATTAGAAATCCTATATTAACATAATATTTTTTTAAATAGGGCCCATGAATGAAGAAAATTTCTTTGAGTGGGAAGCTTTGATAATGTAAGTTATTTGAATATTGTACATTTAAATTATGGATGGATTTCCACTGCTGAACATCATAAATAAAAAAAGACTTTGTGAATGTTCTAATAATCAGAATGTCAAATTTTAGAATTTTTTTGAAACAGTTCAAACTTTGTTTATCTGTCCACATAAGTTACTATTATGCTTGCAAGTTGATAGAATTCTATAATGCACTAATTTTTGTCTCAATGACAAGATTTTGTAAGCCACCCGTAGTAGGTGGCCCTAACAAATATAAGTAAATAAATAATAAAAGGTATAATTTGCTGATCAAGTAGGTTTCATTTTATTTGCTCATAAATGTTTGTATTGGTCTTTTCTGCAATGTCTGAAAGAACCTTCAATGTTTATAGTAATAGTATTATAGTAGTTTATATAGCAGAGGAACCCAAGATGTATTGTAGATGTGAAAATGCCAGTTTATCTTCCTGGACAAATTTACAGTGTGGAAGGAGAATGTTATTGAAGTCTTCTCTTTTACCTAATACAATCATTGCAAAATGCAATTTGAATACAAAAAGATAAATTTACTTAGCAAATTTCTAATGCAATGGTTTTTAGTTTCTTATATTTTATATCCCACCAGTTAGTTTACTCAGTTTATTGTTAGTAAAATAATAATGCCATGAATGACTTCTGGTGTTCCTTGCTACAGCTGCCATCAGGAATTAGCTGAGAGGGAGCACTCTTTGAATATGGATCTGCTCTTTCAGGGATATGGTATAGCCCCATCCAAAACAGATTCTGTCCATTTTCCTTTTGATCAACAGTACTGATATTTTTTCTGCATTTAATTTCAGCTCTTTCTTTTGTATATATGCTATTATTGAACTTAGACAATGTTTAAGGGTACCAACTGCTTTCTTAGAATTGGTTGGTGAGGAGCAGCAAAATAGGTATCATTAGCAAAGTGATGAAACAGTACTTCAAAGCTTCAGAGAAGCTTCTCCTGTTGTTTAATGTAGATGTTGATGAGCAGAATAGATAACATTGAATCTTTGACCATAGAGTAGGTCAGTGCTGTTTTACTGACTCAGACTTGCCAGATCCACTGCAAATAATGTAACTAAAACCTAGCCTTGCTAAATGTTTCAGAAAAAATATAATAAATTATAGATTTGATCTAGGAGGAATGACATTTCACACACAGACCCTGTTTAGTTTTGACTAGGACTCTCACAGTCTATCTGGGAAAAGTGAATATCTTCCCATCTTCAACTTTCTGAAAGAGGTGGTATATAGGAGAGAGACCTCCTGGACATTTGCTCTTCAATAATAACATTGTCAAACAAATTGTAAACATCAGAAAGATTTGCAATCACAAATTTTCTCTTTGGAAATTTATTTTTCCCTTGGCATTTGACTGTTTTCTTGACCTTTTGTATTTGTGAGGCTTTAAAATTACACAAATGCAATATATTATAGAAATACTAAAATAAATTAAAGATCATCATTAAGTAACTGACCTGCACATTCAGATCAAATCAAATCTCTATTATGATCAAAGGCCAACATAAAGAGAATGGGTACAGTCAATTTAAAGGCAGTGTTTTTCAACCTTAGTGACTTTAAGATGGGTAGACTTCAACTGCCAGAATTCCCAGCATGATAGCTAGCAACCTTAGCAATTTTAAGATGGGTGGACTTTAACTGCCAGAATTCTCTAGGCAGCATGGGGGTTAGCAACCTCAGCAATTTTAAGATGGGTGGACTTCAATTCTGGCTGAAGAATTCTGAGAATTGAAGTCCACCCATATTAAAATTGCCAAGGTTGAAAAAAACTGGCATAGACAATACATCAGACTCTGAAAATATTCATAATTATAAAGCTAAAAATATATAACAGAAAATATACATAAAAAGTTCTTCACACAGTTCATGTTTTATTATAATTTTATGTTTACAGCATTAAATAGAAATATAACCATATAACTGTTGCATAAAAATTATAGTTTTAAAAAACCAAAACTATTGTACAAATAGTCCTTGACTTATGACTACAACTGGGCCCAAAATTTCCATTGCTATACAAGGTAGTTGTTAAATGAGTTACACTCCATTTTATGACTTTTTTGCCACAGTTGTTAAGTGAATCACTGCAGTTGTAAAGCAAATCATACGGTCATTAAGCAAATATGGCTTTCCCCTTTGAATTTGCTTGTTGGAAGCTGGCTAGGAAGGTTACTAATAGTAATCACATAACTCTGGACAGTGCAACTATCATAAATACATACCAGTTGCCAAGTGCCTGAATTTCGATCTTGTGACCATGTGCCATTGTAACTTCAAATGTTCACTAAACGAATATTTGCAAGTTGAAGACTATCTGTAATAACCTTTGTTGAAATGATTTCCAAAATATGAGTGATTTTTTTCTTGCAGAGTTGCTGTTGATCATTTGCTTAATAATTCTTCCATAGCTAATAAACTCTGCTTGTTTAAAGCATTTAAAATCTCACACAAGTGTCTAAAGCAGCGTTTCTCAACGTTTGTGTGACGGCGACCCCTGTCACACGGACGCGCCACGCATGCGCGCCGCCCCCTGAGGGGGGAAAATGGCGGATTGCATTGTTTGGCGACCCCCGTAAAATGGTCGTTCGACCCCAAATGGGGTTGCGACCCATAGGTTGAGAACCGCTGGTCTAAAGCATGCAAATATTCATCTTTCTTCCAACAAAACAATTTGTCTATTAAATTAGATTATGATTGTAAATATGCAAATAAATGTATTAAATTATATGCAGGCTAATATGTTTATTTCTTATCAGAATATCTTAGATTTGGAATTGATAATTTTTAAAATAATAAGTACAACTTTAATCCAATATCTCCAAAAGTTATCTAGATATGTAATTATATGTTTTAGTTTATATGATATGTGAGTTTGTTTCAACTTGGAATTCCCCTTTGTGCATTAGGAAGTGGAAGGGAGTGGGATATAATGAAAACAGAAGAAATAAGCTTTCTATGAACATAAAACACTGATTATCTCATTAACTGACTTCATGTTTGCCTATTTAAGCATATCATTGCACGAACGAACGTTCTCCGCCTTTTTATTTTCTTTAGCAATATTTTAACATTGTATAATGCAAGTTGTAGTTGGATGTTTTGTGTATATTACAGGATACATGCATATCTGATGATTGTATAAAACTAATATTCTGAGTTGTTCCATTTTATCTCTTCTTCTTTAAGATGAAATTATTGACTTATAGTGAAAATTCTTGCAATTCATTTTTTTTACATTAAAAATAATTTATTGTTAAACTATAGTTATTGACTTCCAGGATATGAGGAACACCCCTCCTAAAGATATGGGAACAAACTGCAGAGAGTTGGTCCAAAAACAACCTCAAAATTTAATAAGCATTTACAATATACATGTTAAATATAAAAATGATATAAGATAATAGTTATTGAAATTATCAATATTTCTACCACATAAATTCAGTTTTAAGCAAGATCTACTTGAATGAATGCTGTAATAAGATTGTATCAAATGTTAGTTCCATTTTCAAGTGATGAAATCTCAGTGTATGAAATAATTGCAAACTACAGCTTCAATTGAGGTCAGTTTTTTTTTCCCTACTTTGCTTTTGTGTGTTGGGCTAACTAGAATACAACACTGGAAAGTAGAAAATCACAAATTGCTTAGTGTGCAGAAGCCTATATTCCATGCCTGGCTGCAATGTAATACCCTTTGTAAGAGAGTATACCCAAATGAGTATAGTTGGGCTTTGTTTTGAACAAATATATATTCTTTGATATCATTGCAAGGCCTAGTAGTTGATATAGTTGAGAAGATAGGAGTTGGAGTTCTTATTGGATTGGGATACACTGGGAGAGAATTAAAATTAGAATTAGAAAATTAGAATTACAAAGATTCAAAGTTGTTTATGTAAATAACATTCAAGTTATATGCTGTACTTTAATATACAGTATATTTGTATAATGTCTTAAGAAATATGTAGATGTATTAGTGGGAAATATGATTTAAATTGGCCTTTTTCCTGCTAATTTGAATAATATAAAGTATTGGGGCAGATTAATCATATCTGGATATGCTGTTGGAGACACGCACAGAAAAAATATGGTGAGAATAAAAGATTTAGGGTAGGAAAATGGAATAGTATTGAACCACTAAGTGTATCTCTTTTGGTTTAGCATTTGCCAAATCTGAAGCACACGTTTAAATAAAATACATATAACATAAATTATAAAAAAAGATAGCAAATCTCTGCTCTCTACTGATCATCCTGCATTTCATTATCAGTTAATAATGAAGTGTATCACTAGGTTCTCAAAGAAAAATTTGAACTTGGGAATAGGGCTTAATAATTATGTAGGATGAACATAATATATTGGACACAGGGTAGCAATGAATGTAAAGCCAAGTGAAATAAACGAAGCTTTGTTGAAATAAACCTTAAAAGGAGAACATGACAGATCTGTAAGTGAAATTAGAGAAATGCAAAAAGAACAGGAAAAAATGATGAAGTATAACATAAGAGCTATAGTGATATTTTTCACATAGTAATCTAGTTCTCTACAGATAAAATGGTTAAAGAAACCTGTGTGGATGCTGTACGTGTTCAGAAGCTTTCCCATTAATGATTTTAGTTTCTACAACAAACTTACATGTTTCTAGTGTGTATTACTTAAACAGAGTTATTTAAAAGCTAGGCGTGCATTTTGGATGCATTTCTTAAGCCAGGACAGCCTGCATTTCCTAATTATGAATATTGAAATTGCTTTTATTATTTGACTTGATGGGTTAAATTTTATTACATGCATTTTTTTATAAGGCCATTACTGAAGTTATCTTATAAGCCTTGGTTATTTAAAATCTTTTAAATTGCAGCTTTTGACACCTTTGTCCATGATGAATAAACTGTGTTCAAAGCAGCACTTTCAGTACTTGCTAATAATATTTCTTGACGTGCAGGTACTAAAATCTGGAACATGCCTTAGAGACAGATTGAATATAATTAAATAAACACACCCTAGCAATTATGTAGTGTTGTGACCTTCCTTATAACTTAAATGTACAAACTTTGATTTCTCAGCCCTTCAGCTTTTTTTGTTTTAGGGTAGGAGTAATGGATGTGAGAAAGTTTAGCCTAAACTCCTTTAGGCTTCTTTCCTAAAATAAAATAATCTGATGAAATTGGTATAGATTTACTATAGGGACTGTTCATTGCAGAACTGTTGTGCTATGATTATTAACTGATAATGAAATGCAGGATGATCAGTAGAGAGCAGAGACTTGCTATCTTTTTTTATAATTTATGTTATATGTATTTTATTTAAACATGTGCTTCAGATTTGGCAAATGCTAAACCAAAAGAGATAGAATTCAGTAAAAGTTCAAATCTACAGTAAGCCTTCCAAAGTTGTCTTAATGTTTCAGAATTTCATTAGAACATTATGTAATCTTAATTAAAATAATTAACAATATAGAGGTGGTTCCAGCTAAGAAACCTATGAAATTTTATACCATTAGCCCTAGCTATATTTGAATAAGAGAACTCTTATACGTTAGAGAAGCTGCATTGATTTAAATGGTGCATATTCTCTTTGGATAATTGACACTGTCACTAGTTAGGAAAAACACTTTTCTAATTATTAGATAGCCAGTTTTATTTTTTAAGAAATAAAAGTAAAAAATTATGGTAGTTATACAGCCATAGGCAAGTTAGGGGACTTTTCTCATTTGCATCTAACTGTAACACAAATATATGTTACATATTTAGGATCTAATGTTCTTATCCCCAAGCACTGTTTCACACTCAGAATGATTCCTTTCAAGGATGAAATACTGGTAAGTTGGAAGAACATTATACTTCTGCTAAAGTTTGAATGAGATGTTTTACAGCTAGAATATTTTGACATTGAAACAATTTGTATGCCCTAGTACATATCTTCTTTCTCAGTTAGTGAAACAGTACAGTAGGTATTCCTTAATGGTTTTTCTTATTTCAAGTTGGAAATGAATTTCTCTATTACAGTTACATAAAAACAAATGTTAAATGTAATACATAATAAAACTTTGAAATGCTACAGATTGTACATAATTCATTTGTGTGTGGCTAATTTAATGTTTGTTTGTTTGTTTGTTTGTTTTTGTGCTTCTAGGGGTCCAGAAGACACGTGCTTTGAGTATGGAGTTTTTCCTGCTATTCTGAGTTTTCCTCTTGATTATCCTTTAAGTCCTCCAAAGATGAGGTTCACATGTGAAATGTTTCATCCCAACAGTAAGTTTTGCCAGTAGATGATCCACTGTGTTTTCATATCAGTAAGCAACCCTGTTAAGTCTAGGTAGTCTAGTATTATTCATTTAGCCTCCCTCCTCTCCCCCCCCCCAAATTATGGCAATCTGAATCCTTTTTTTAAATGAGAGATGAGCTTTTTCAACAACAATTATGATGTAGACTTTAAGTTATTTACTATTTTTTAGGATGTTGCTTAACTGTTTTGCTCACATTTAATTGATAAGTAATTTTGCACTTGTACATTCATTTTTGTTACAAATTAAATAGATTTTTAATCTTAGTGATTGCATCTGTCCAACAGTTCATAATGTTTTTCTCTTTGATGAGCAACATAGAGATGTGAAATGAAGTCTATGTAACAGCTGGCTGTACTTCAGGATACTTTTTCCAAACCCAGATGTAATTCCACAAGTGAAGTAAGCTGAAGAAAAAAGTGTAAAAGTAGTGAATATATTACATATTTATCAGAGAGTGACTTTGCTCTAATTTTAAGGAACTAGGCTAGAAACCAAGAAACCATGAGTTCTAGTCTTGCCTTAGGCATGAAAACCAGCTGGGAGAAATACAGTCTCTGTGTGTTTAAGAGTGTTGACACCTAAAAGGGTGGCACTCTCCTGAAAGAGCAGGATCATGAGTTGCATCTAATGACCATTGTTGGATAGGTAGGCCGAAGTTGAGGCCAAGATCCTTTGCTGATTCATCAGTGATAGATCAACCCAGAGCAGGATAATCTTTCCATTATAGGTTCTGCACATCACTTGTGGATTATCTGTGCAACTACTTAAAAATGAGAAATCCTTTTTAAGTAGTTAAAAATTATAAAAATCATTATAATTATATGCCACCTGTCTTGTGGTCACTAAACTGGTTACCAATAAGGTTCTGGGTACAATTCAAAGTGTTGACTTGTCACCAAAGGTCATACAAAATGGATTTCTCTGCATAGAAACATCTACTCTACTTGTGCAGGGTACAGATGTTGCCAGCATAGTCTCTTAGACAGGCAAGCTGAAGTGAGCATGGTCATGTAAGCGATGTTTCTTAATTGTAGTCCTCTATTAAGAATAATCTCTCTGGAAGATTATTCACATTGTTAGGTTTCTGCAAGATATTAATGGCAAACTGTTCCAGAGAGCCATGGAACTGAACACCTACCATTGCACATACCACAGTAGACCATATTTTTGCTTTTATAATCAGCTTGCTGATGGCTGGACTCGGGTGGTTTCATCGGCGCTGGCTGCCATTGGCGTCTTCCGCCCTGCGCGCCCTCCTCGCCCTCCCCCCACCTGTCTATGTCGAGCCTGGAGGGCTTGACAGTAAACCCATAATTTGTTTATACTAATAAACAATATACTAATACAATAAACAGTAATATCAGTTTTTAATAATAACGTCCTAACATCATAGTAACTATTGAACACAACTTCATCATTGTATATGTGTGTGTATGTATGTAGTTGTTTGTAGCACTGCACTCATCTATACAAAGAGCTCTGATGTTCCTGGGATGTTTTGAAACACTCTTCTAGTTTAGGAGTCTCCACCTTAAGTGCTCCTATCACCACTAGGTTCACTTTGGCCTTTACTTTCCACATCCTCTCTAGTTCCTCTTTTAGGCCCTGGTATTGGATGGATGGATGGATGGATGGATGGATGGATGGATGGAGAGAGAGAGATGTTCTTAGAAAATATATTGGAACTTTATAATGTGGTATCTTTGCCTGCTGTGCCTCCATAGGAAAAAAATAGTGATCTTTCAAGTTTTGTTTTCCTTTCTCTGAAGTTTGGTTGTAGCATTTAGCTTTAGAAATGTGTTGTAAGCCAGCTAGAGTTATGCTATATTAGTGGCCATATATATATTTTAAATAAATAATTACAAGGGAAGCATCCAGCTTTATTTTATTATTTTATTTTATTTTTGTCTATGCCTTCTTTTATCTTAAAAAAGGGAGTAAACATATCAACTTAAGTATAGCAATTAACAGTTTGTAGTTACATAATAGTATAACATTTAAATAATATTAATTTTGAAACCTGGAAAATATGTTTTTTCCCAGACTTCAGTAATATCATTACTAATATTTATTTACTGTTTGGTCTACCCTCATTTTATTCAGTGCCACAATCAAACAGTACCAAAGAAAAATACTGGAGTAATGATTAGAATTAGTAGAAAGTGTCCTTAGAGTCACTAGTACCCTAGCTGAACTTGACTGAAGGGGGACTTTATTGTTAATATTCAAAATATGAATAAGAAAGATCCAATACTTTCAATTGGAGTTTCCACTGAGATTTAGTTTTACAATACGAACTCTTAATTCTTAAATTTAGCTAACAATGTATTTCAAAATATATTTTGAATTAGGGGATACTATTTTGTGAATGTTACTAAAAACAAAGACAATAAAGAATATAAACATTAGAAGAATATTAGATATTAAGAATTGTTCTATCCCATTTATAAATTCCCAGATGTAATTTATTTTAAGTAAAATCATTTGCAGAATGAACTCAGCTTCTAATGATTTTAGTCAGTTTTCTTGGGAGCAGTATAAAAGTATCATCACCTTCTTCCAGCGTGTTTTTAACACTTCATTCTAGCCTACAGCCATGGTATTCCTTGGTATTTTCTGATTCAGATACCATATGCACCAGGCCTGACCCTGTTTAATTTTCAAGCCCAGACTAGATCAGCAAATTGCTATTTATTGAAGCTAACCTATTTTAAATACAACCATAATTTTGCAAAGCCAATTCTACACTTATTAACTCATAAAGACAGAGCTTCCCTCTTTTTTGTTGATATCTTGCTATTTTATGATGAAACTGGTATTTGCCCCAGTACATATTCCCTGTCTTGCATTCTTCTTTACTTCTTTTATCTGTCAACTTTATTAATCCTATAAATAGCTACTTAGCTATAAATTACTATAATGCCATTCTCTGACAAAAATGAAAATATATAGGAAAGCTATAGTGATGTTTAAGTTTCAGCATTAACTGCAGCCTAGAGAAAACTAGATTAGAATTGAAAGAGTATATAATTGCTGTCAGACTTCTCAACGAATGATGTGTTAGATGAGATAGTTTCCATCCTTTATAGTAACTCTTTTTTTATTAATATATTCTCAATTCTGTTAACAATTTTTGCACTAATTTTAAGAATTATTGCACTAATTTTAAGAATCATTATTGCACTAATTTTAAGAATTCTTCCCATTTTATTGTCTGATCTTCTCAGTTTATCCAGATGGGAGAGTTTGCATTTCCATTCTTCATGCTCCTGGAGATGATCCAATGGGCTATGAGAGCAGTGCAGAACGATGGAGTCCTGTGCAAAGTGTGGAGAAGATCCTCTTGTCAGTGGTTAGCATGCTAGCAGGTATAAGAAAGGGTAGCATTCATAGAGACAACAGGGTAGATAATTTGAAAAACACAAATCGCTAGACTTTTCTAGAACATTTTATGTCCCAAGTTGTTTAATCTAGATTAATGGTTATACAGTTGGTCTCAGTAGTGACCTATGTAATGCTAAGGACTATGAAGAATTAATTTGAAGTCTTTTTGCTAAGCTGCTAGAAGGCCAAGTTTAAAGGGCCATTCTTGAAAGTTAAAGAAATAATTAAGACATTTTTTATTTTAGATATTTGGTTCTAGCTTATAATGCAAAGTGACACAAAATTAATAGAAACATTTGAGTTTATTATTTTCATAATACTTTTCATTAAAAATACAAATATAGATTTAAATATTAAAAATACAATTGATTAAAGGAATTAAAATGAATAATGGAGACAGATTCTAAAATCAAATATCTAGGTGAATAGGTAATGAGGCTTATCTAATTGCTTATTTTACACAATTCGTACGACTATGGAAAAGACTCGTATTAGAGCCTAGTTAAGTGAACATGGGCAAGCTGTGGTACAGTCAATAGGACATTCTTTCTGAGCAAAAAAACTTGAGTAGTCCTATATGAAAATAGTATCATTACTGAGCTGTTTTGGAGCCTTCTAAATTAACAAAAACTTATTGAAAATCACTCAATAGCCTGTTATAGACTTTAATATTGAATTTACCATTGCATGTTATATTATTGTGGCAAAGATATAACTATCTAGGGGAGTTTATAATTGTGATGTTAGCCAAGGTAATGAGTACCCCTGGCTACTAAGTCTTCCTACCAGCAATATGGCTGATTCTATGCAGACCCATCCAGAATAGTTGGAATTCTATAGTAACAGACTCTTGGTTTCAACAGGATTCAACTCCAGCTTCTTTGTCCTTATTCACAATACCTCAAGAAGATCCTATGTTCTTTTTTCCAAATCTTTTCCTAGTAGTATGGATTTTTTTCATTCCTTACACATACATTTCTTCATGGATACTAATATTTCAGTTCCTTAATATTCTGTTTGTTTATGATGTGAGTAGGAGAAATATTTAAAATCCAAGATCTTTCCATTCCCATATTCTTTGTGTACAATCAGAACTTATAAGTACATAAAGTGCTTTGATTTAAAAGAAGTGTCAAGGTATTTTCAGCAAACTACAGTCTGAAGTTTCCTTTTACTTCTTACATGTGGGTGTAGGAAGATAGATGTAAATGGATGAAATCAAATATCAAGACCACTTTACTTGTAATGCCAAGCCACAGTATGGCATGGGGCCTGAATCAAAACTTAAAAGAGCTTTATGTAGTTATTAAGAAAGAAGAGTCTGATGACTTGTATTTGTTGTAATTGATTGGAGTTATTGTACTCCATTCTTTTGGAACAATGCATGAAATGAAATAAAATTTTGGAATTCTTGAACTTATATACGTTTTACTTATAGTGTGTGTGGTTCTTTTAATGAAAAACACTGTAAATAAGCTGATGTTATTACTGTTTTTTTCCCTATTGATCAGCCTTTTTTCTCACTTTAGAACCAAATGATGAAAGTGGAGCCAATGTGGATGCTTCTAAAATGTGGCGAGAAGACAGAGAACAGTTCAACAAAATAGCCAAACAAATTGTCCAGAAATCACTTGGTCTTTAAAAAAAATACCAAACAAAACAAAACATCTGAAATTCTTGACAGTCTTACTGTTGAACATTTTATAGAGAGAAAGTGATAGTAGAACTCTGAGCTGGTACCAAAAGACAAATCTTGCAAAACTGTTCATTAAATTTTGTTCCTCCCTGTATATAAGCATGCACCAACATTTTTACACTTTGGAAGAAAAATCTTTCTCAATTTAAGACATATCAATAGATGGGATGCAAATACAGTACTGTAGAGCTGTAATCATTTTCTATTAGTAAAAACTTCTTAAAACTTAAAACTTCTCTGCAGTTATACCTATAATAATGACCATATTATCTTTCATTACAGTATCATTCACCTGTGTAAGTAGTAGGATTGAGATGATCTATGAATATCTTACTGCTCAGAAAAGTAGTGAAATATTGTTAATGGAAATTATTTGTTGCCAATGAGAATTATCCTTTTAAGGATTTTTATTTACATAACCTCATTTAATAAAAAAAGAATGTTGACCATCAAAATGTTACACAATAAAGTGAACTATCTTTGTCCTGGGGAAGAAGTGGTCAGTGTAATCTTACTTCCTGTTATAGCATTCTGTTTGCCTAATTTAATAACATTTTTTGTGATTGGGCTTGAAGATATTCAAAAGGAATATATGACATCGTATTTGGGTCAATCACCAGGACCAGAGGTCTACTCTTTCAAGCTTTTGGATTCATGCTGGACCTCATCTTCAAGGAATTTCTCTACTGGAATATGTGCTTTGATCTGTTCTGTGACTCGTGTTTATGTAGTGCCTTCCTATTAGCTGATTGGTGTGTTGATGACTGGCAATTGGCTGTTTCCTTGGGCTGCCAAGTCCTTGGCTCCTAAGTATTTGATAGGCTGATGGTAATTCAGCATTCCTGTTAATTGACAAGGGGCCTGTTTCCCAGGCTTCAATCATTTCCCTGGCTATCTTTGCACTTGCGTGTCCAATAATCTTAGTTGCTGCGAAATTAAATGCGTGTCCTTGTTCATTGCAATGACACTACCAATGACTTCGGATCTCCTGGTCTGACCACTCATTTGTGTTCTTGCAATCTGGATGATTAGCTTCCTCCCTGTTTGTCCTACATAGTCACAGGGGCAATCCATTCAAGGGATCTGATAGATTACATTGGAAGTATCTCCCACTCCAAGCGATCTTTGCAGTGCATAATTTGTCCTCGTATGGTAGTCTCTGGGCAATGTGTGATGCCCACTTGCAGATCTCGGGAGCTGCATTCTGCTGCTTCTGAAATGTTTTTGATGTACGGCAGGTTATGCCATATAGTTGGTCTTTTATCTTCTTTCTTTTCTCTCCATTGCTTTTTGTGCAGGCATCTTGTAATAAATGCTTGTGTGTACATGTAGACATGAACAATTCAAGCATAATGGGTAACCACAAGCACTTATTGCAAGATGCCTGTGCAAAAAGCAAAGGAGAGAAAGCAATAGAACACAGCTGCCGAGATATGCAAGTGGACATCGCACACTGCCCAGAGGCTACCATACAAGGACAAAATTAGGCACTGTAAAGATCACTTAACTGTGTCGAGAAAATGGAGAAAAATTCAGTTCACAACTGTCTCACTTAGCAAAAGAGGTCTTGAATTCAATTGTTGCAAGTTGATGACTACCTGTATTTATATACAAATATAAAATGAAAATAAGATATTTTTTTCTTAAAATACATTAATTATATTAATACTTTGGAAAATTTTACATTGCCTATTAGGACCGGAAAGCATTCAGAAGATGTGCTTTGCAAATTGTGTTAACACAAATGAGTAATTTGAAATACTAAAACAGAGACATGATAACATTGTTCCAATATTTGAGGGGCTGCCACAGAGAAGAGGGGGTCAACCTATTTTTCAAAGCACCCAAAGACAATGATTGGAAACTAACCAAGGAGAGAAGCAACCTAGAACTAAGAAATTTTCTGACAGAACAATAAACCAGTGGAACGGTTTGCCTTCAGAAGTTGTTGGTTTTCCATCACTTTTAAGAAGAGATTGGACAACCATTTATCCAGAATGGGATAGGGTCTTCTGTTTGAGCAGCGAGTTAGACTGGAAGACCTCCAAGGTCCCTTCCAACTCTGTTATTTGAGAGCTGTAACTTTGTTAGGTTTATCTAGCTGGTTCAAAAGCAGTATATGACTGATTGTGTAACTGCATGTACATACTCCACTTATGGGCCACACTACTGATTACACATGCATGTAGAATCAAGGAAGAACCTTGTAAAAGATGGAATTGCTTTAACAAATAGGAAAAGATGAATAATGATACAAATTTCCAGTGTAACTACTTCGGTTGTACTATGAAGCTGTGTCATCTTGAAATGAGGACACTTTAATAATTGCTTTCATAATGAAGGCAAACTAATTAATACATTCACTTTAAATTATACTTTGTTAAATGTATTTATGATGATGCAATATGCCTACTATTGGAAATGCATGATCCAGTTGATTATTTGAAAGGAGGAAATCCCATTATCTGGTATAATTTCCCTGTCTCTTGAGTACTAAATTTAGTAATTACCTAACCAATTTTGAAATAAATTTAGGAAATGACATCTTAATGCATCTAGCTGTTCACGATGTATCTTGCTGTTCTTTTCTGCCAACTTTAGTCTTTGGTCAAGAATGTATGATGGTACCTTCAGCATTGAAAAAAACAACAACAACCAACCCACTATGCTTCTTAAAGAGATCATTAAACTTGTTTCTTGAGAAAAATAGATGTTAATGTAATGGGTGCATGAGTAATTCTTTAATCTACATTTTCCACCTCTGTTCAGAATGTCTGCCTAGGGTTTATCGTTTTAATGGTTGAAAAGGATATAAAGAATTCTTCTGCTTGGCAAAGGAAGCAGTGTTAGGACACAAGAACAGGCAAAATAATTAGACCTAAGTTTATCATATTGGTTTCCTCCTCTTCTTTGAAAGGAATAACTGCTGTATTAAAGGTGTTGGAACTACATAAAACAGTTGAGCTTCAGGGCAGGGCTACTCCCTGGATTCAGGCTGCCTTGTTATATCTGGCCTGGCTCTCACGAAGTCACAATTACCAGCGTGATGAGAAATATGTGTGTTCTGCAATCCTGGTATGTTAGCTTTGAAGTTACTACATGCAGTGGAATTGACACCTGCCTGTAAATATTTTATTTCTCCTTTTGTTTGCATATTCCCTCCACGTATATAGGAATAGGAAAATATAAACTCAAGAGTTATTGGTTTCATAAAAGTAATGGATTGTGCTGTTTAGTTAATCTTATACACTGAACTGAAAAAAAGCTAGTGGTGGCTAATAGGTTTATCTACTGGACTTAATTATACATTTTTTTTTTTACTGGATGAAAACATTCCAACTCATGCCAACACCTGAAGACTAGCAACTACAAGTAAACTTCAGTGACCCGGGGAAAATGAATTGCAGAGTATGGGTTATACAGAGGCTTGTTTATTAAATAAATAGCCTGACAAAATGTCTTAATGTTTAAAAATCCCTCCTTAAATTACAAAGAATTCCATACTGGTATCAGAAAAAAAAATCTGCTTGTTTTAAATTGCAACATGAACTTTTTCTGTAATTTAATAAAAGGGTTTTTCATAAGAACAGGCTTTTTAAATTGATCCTTATCACAGAAGGACAAACTTTTTAATTTACTGGTTAACAGAATTAAAAACCTGCAGAAAAATCAAAGCACATATAATGTACTCTTGCACAAATTCTCCTGAACAAAGAACATGTTTTAAAATGATTTTTCCCTAATTACTACTTAACATTCCTAGTTTAATGAGTGAGAGTGAATCTGACTTAAAGCTTCAAGGAAATCTGCATCTTACCTTTTCCTGCTGTTGGATTCCAGGGCATTGTGCTAATGCAAGCTTTTCTCAATGTTTACTTGGTTAGCTCTGAAGTATAGTGCTGGGTATTAAAAGTGATAACTAAAAGAGATTTGTACAAGCAGATACTGTAGATCTCATTTAAAATAGCCAGTCCTTGTACTAGCTGACTTTTCTTTTTCAGGTCTCTAAATCGATGTGTAGGTATCTCAGAAACAGCCTCATAAGAAATATGGCAATTTCCTGGGTAGGAAAATTGTTTAGTTGTTCATAGAAGCATATAAACATTAAGGCAGAGGTCCCCAATCTATGGGCCATGGCCCACTACCGGGCCATGGCCTCTTGGCCACCAGGCCGCATGAGTGGCTGGCCAGTGCGCACGTGCATGTGTGTGCGCTCACTCCCACTTGTGGCGCTAGCCTTCCTGTAACCCTCACACCGGCACTGGCAGCCCCATTTGCAGAGTGCATGCTTGCAGCCCCATTCACGCTCATGCACGTACAGCCACATTTGCATGGGTGTGCATGCATGCATAATGGTGCCCGCCCCTCCCTTTCTCACCGGGCCGTCAACCCAGAAAGGTTAGGGACCCGTGCATTAAGGCATTATAGCAAGAAACCCAGCCTGGTATCATGCACATTCCCCAGTCATCTGACTAGTAGAAGATGTTGGAAAAGAGTGAGATTCACATTTTGGTAAACCATGATTTGTTTAACCATTAACCAATATATCAAAAAATTTCATATAGAATATATGAAAAAGCCCTTTTTTAGAATACATCAATATCTTCTGCCTAGTGAGAAAAAAATAGCAATATCAAATAGCCTGCACATTTAGAAAGTGATCTTCGCTGATATCATATGCTGCATAAGGAAGGAACTGTGTGTACTTAGTCTCTAAGGGAAATTTCACAAACTGATGTTTTAGCTACTTCAGACACATGGTGGTGCTTACAGCTTGAATAAATGAAACATTGTTCCTTAAAGAAAAAAGAACCAGCTGCTCCAGTTAACCTGGAAGATGCCAAACTCTATAAGAACTGAGCTAGGCCCAGTTCTTTTAGGATTATTTTTTTGGGCTCCTGGCTGACCTTGATTCTTCATTACCCAAAACCGTTTACAAAAAGTGCAACTGCGTGAAATGAAGTGACTAATTAATTGGAACTCTTCACAGGTAAATCAATCTGTTTGAAAAATCTATGGAGCTGCATTTCTACAATTTCTTTGTGACAGAGGCAGTATGGAAAAAGGGATTAAAATATTCACAACTGCCCCTGCCACTGTGTTATGGACTCCAAATTAGATCTCAAACCTCTTCAAAGGTCTTGGAAATGATTTGTCTGGTCCTGTATATCTAAATTTGTTAAAGGTAACCAGGTACTGCCTAATAATCTCTTTTCTTGTCTTGAATTGCCATTCTCTGTTTTTGTCAAATGATTTGGTTAAATCTAATTGAATTCTTTGGGGGGGGGGAATGCAAATCCTATCATCATCTTCTAATATTTTCCCACAGGTGCAGAGTTTGCTTTTTAAAACACAAACAGCATTTCACCAATTCAAATACAGCAACATCCAATTGGATGATCTTCATGTCTGTATTCATTGTGTCTATTACCTTTGCTTTTGGGGTGTGTGATGGGTCAGCTGTTAAAAACACTGAGCTTATCAGCTGGAAAGGTA